TAATATTTTAAAATATCCGTGCGAACGCTACAACACGTGAGGTTTGTATAAAATAAAAAAGGTGAGTGCTCTGAAACTGCTGGTGGCTGGTCGGATTGAATGGTTGCGATGAAAATAAATTGTAATGATAGATGATGTAGGGCTGAGATGAATTGAAACTATTGTGTCTACGAGTGTAAATTAATTTTACATAAAAAAAATGTTCAAATTCGAGAAGAAACACAATGAATTACAGGAAAACAGTGTACACTAATTTAAAGAATATTTAGCATGAACTAAATCCTGGGGCCAACAAACTTTATATAAAAAATAAATAACCTTAAAATTCATTTTTTCATAATTACAAAAATTTGAATGAATTAAAAAGTAAAAAAAAGTAATACTTAGGATAAACACGAATCTAAAATAAATCTTAAATTAGGTAACGAGTGATCTTCATCATTTAGCGGAAGAAAATAGACCAAAAAATGATGACTTTCTGTCTGCAGCTGTTGCCATCAACATGGGTACTTGGTTCTCGTGCACTATGCTAATCTGTTCACATGTTCGTTCGTTTGTTTGTATGTATGCACCCGTCAGTACGAACTTGGGCGTGTGAGCGTGTGTGATCTGAGTGTGCGTGTGTGATCTGAGTGTGCGTGTGTGTGATCTGAGTGTGCGTGTGTGTGATCTGAGCGCGTGTGTGTGTGTATCTGCGCGTGTGAGTGTTTGTTTATTCATATTTGAGTGCGTAAATGTTTGTCTTATTAGAATAACGTATGTATGTGAAAAGAGATGCAAATACAAACGGTGCAGGGAGGTTGAATCCATGGCTCGCCGTCAATCTGCATCGGAAACTCCTTGGTTGTTCTTCAATTCGTAGGAAATTTATAACAAGGATGATTATCACAATCAACTAATTATCTTATAGTTTTTTTAAATTACACACGCCTTTGAACATTTACCAAATGTGATATAAGAAAATTAACTTCAAACAACTCGAAAGACGGATGATGGAAAGTCAGCAGGCACAGACCTCATCAAAAGGCACAGGTCATCAACCGGTGAACATGCGAACAAACAACATCCATTATATTACAAGTGCAAAAATAGTAATGATGATGCGTGCAACGAACTGTATGAGGATGTTGGAACATTGAGCAAGTCTTTTGCCTGAGTGCATGCCACCCTTCACTTTCACCATGTGTATCGTGTCTATCAGTCCCACCAATTCCACCAATTTGTCACCCATATCTGAATGCAAACAATTAAAATGACAGACCTAAGTGATGCTCGTTCGTATTTTCCCAATTTACGCTAGCTGAGTAACATAACAAATATTTTATTTAGTACTCAATCAACCAATCCAATTAGCCAGTCAGACAACTAACCAACTAGCCAGCAAGCAAACCAACTAGCTAACTAATCAGCCAACCAATAAACCAACCAATCAACCAGCCAATTAACAAATAATCAACCAATTAATCAATAAAGCAAACCTTGTGTAGTACTACAGAGGTCCACAGACGACACACTACCACTTGAGAATTCTCTATCAATGTCTGACGATGTTGATGTACTTTGTATCTGCATGCACCAGTCAACAGATGTTTGACAATATTTTACGAACGCAGACCACCAACAAACATTTACTACATTCAAATTGATTCAACATTTATAAATGACTAGTTGAGGCTCTCAACAACAATAATTAAACAACGCCAAGCAACAAACACAACTCGACACAAAACAATAAGCAGCATGCACACCTTATAGAGCACCAACCTTCTTTCTCTTTTTAATCCTGGTGATATACGGGTCCCCCCATAAATTGGACCCACCGTAAATGCTGGGTATGTTCAACATGGCCACACCTTCCATTGACCGACCATGCATTAAGTCCAAGGGTACGCCATCACACTGGCCAATTTCAATTGCAAGTTACAATCAACATATATTAATTATTAATTAATTAAAATAAAATTAAAAGAGTTAACATGAAAAAATAAAACAACCAGAAGAGGCAATCCTAATATTATAAATGGGCATGAAAATAAGTTAAACGCATGTAACACTAGAGTTTTAAACGCGTTAAAAAGCGTGTAAATAGCAAATAGAACTATTGATATATGCATCAAAATAACTTACCTAGACTGATTACAGATAGAAACAAATAATTACTAAAAGTGTGAATTTGAAACTTGCTGTATAAAAACAAAAGTAGCAAGGAGAAACAGAGATGAACTAACAAATATGTGAACAGATTCATGTAGGTTTTTACACGTGGCTCTCCATGTCTCTGACGTGCCATACTCCAAATATATCAACTTGTTCTTCATCCTGTTGAGTAGATGTACACCATCATAATCATTATCCTACTCTTCAAGCCATCATCAGTCCCATCATTTTCATCATCATCGTAATTCCCCGACACATGCCGTCATATGATAATAATATCAATTCATCTTAATGACATCAGTCCTTCATACCGACGTCATTCTATCATAATGACATCAAGCCACCATGTGAAACATCATAATGACGTCATCGGCAAGCAACCTGCTGTTGAACTTCTCAGGATGTTTCTCCCTCATGACATGGAATCGATGGGCAATGGAGGCATCCACCCCAATGGAGAAGTAGTTGTTGATGATGTTGCACGGTATCTTTGAACTGCCCACAGATGGCTTTCGCTTCTTGGCAACCTCGGTCATGGTTGGAGTGGCCGTCAATGAGGATGATGGCTCGGTAGAAGTGGACGATGAATTCAATAAAAAGGGTTCTAAACCAATGATGTGCATCTGCGGATGGTCAGGTTCCATGCGAGAGGTCACCTGGCAGGAATCGTCAGACAGGAATGAGGTGATGATTTTTGTTGCAATTGGTAGGTCTACAGAATCTGAGCTGAGGTTGTCATCAGTGCTGCTGCAGTTGTTGTTGTTGTTAGCAATGTTTTTGTTGCTGTTATTGTTGTAGCTGATGTTTTTATTGGTGTCACTCTGCGTGGCATTAATGATCTTGTCGTCTGCAGAGGTCTCTTTGACGTCAATGCGCCATCTGTCCAACGTGACCACCACACTCTGACTTACTTGGTCCAACACTTTGCGCAGATCCTCCCCCTCATAACCTGCAAGAACGTGTATGTCCGTAGAATAAAAACAACATACAATTACGTATTATTTTTAGCTGAGATTCTTTCACGTCTGTATAAGCTCCACACATGCAAGATAAGCCATGTTATATATGCCTCAACAACGCAGGTCGTGTCATGTTATATACATTTTTACAAAGTTCCAGGACAAACATAATGACGTTAATAAATAATACTTTATGTTTAAACTTCGCCATATAAGGTATTTTATTTAAAGCCACCCAATCAACCTATCAACAAAAAGCCAATCAGTCGGTTAGTCAGTCATCCAGCCAGCAAACAAGCGAACAAGCAAATTGTCTAACCAACCGACCAATCAACCCAACCTACCTCCACCCCACTTGAGACTTCTGGCCAGATCATTACCAGTACCAAGAGGTAGGACTGCAACAGCGGGTCTGCTGTCTCCATAGTTCATTTTATCTGGTGGCGATCATGATAACGACCATGATGATGATGATGATGATGATGATGATGATACTGACTTAAAAGAGTTCAAAAACTTTGTAATGTGATATTTTACTTTAAGTTTTAAGAAGGCATATGCTAAAGTAAAAGAGAACAACACCAAAGCTGAGCTTTAGTGGGATGACTGCATCGATTGGTAGTATATTAGGACAAGTGGAGATGATGGTCGTAAGTGAAAATGACTAGTTACAGACCTCAACCTTGTTTCACTTCTAACAAAACGTCACATGATTCACATTCTTTTTCTCAGACAACAAATTTCGTACAGATGGGGAATTTATGCAGCACATTTTTTGTGAGTTGTGTGGAAATATGATTACTGCTACTTTATTTCACAATTGTTAAGTAGCAATTATAAATTTGGACGTGACGCTAGTTACAAATATTTAAATAACCACTTTTATCTGAAATTCAACTAAAAAATGCCAGCAAATAATTCAAGCTGGGTAGGCAGTTGAAGAATTACTAACATATTGAGTGAAGTGAGACTAAGACTCGAAGATGTTTGAAGAGTCACTCACCTTATTAAGAGATAAAGAGGTTAGACAAGCAGGATAAGAGTAGGTACTGCTGGAACATCATACTTATGGGACAGGTAATTAATTAATTAGAGAGAGAGAGAGAGAGAGAGAGAGAGAGAGAGAGAGAGAGTAAGAGTACCCACCCATGGACTCCAGCAGCCACCCAACAGTTCCATCTCCTCCACAACATAATATCTTGTAATTTGGTAGTTCACGAAAAAATTGTAACCTGTTTTAAGATGAATTTTGTTAAAAATTTGTAAAAGCCAAAAAAATCATCCAGACCATTAATTGCATTTGAACTTATATCAACAAATAATTAACAAATAATTAAAATATTTTGGTGGGTTTCGCTTCAAAGTGAAAAGTTAAGTGCAGTAAGTGCAATGTGAATGAGCAGTAACAACGTGAATGTAACAAAAAAAACAATACACAACTATTTTATAAAATAATATTCAATTTGACCAAAAAAAAACAAAAAATAAAAAAGCTCATGCAGTAGAAAAATTACGTGTATAAATATAGATCTGTTGTTTCTCTGGCGGAGAGACCAATTGAACGAGCGCAAACATTGCAAACAATAAATAGAGAATGAATGTATGCCAACCCATTCATGAAACCTTTATCCGACGCCACATTAAAAACTTGTCGTGGATTCAAGATGTATTGAAACTTCTTCAAGATGCTGCGTTCCCAGGAATAGAAAGGGTAGATGAATATTGAATGAATGAATGAATGAATGAATGAATCAATCAATCAATCAATACACAAAAGCTTAAATTACAAACAACAATCACAATAATGACATCAGTGAATAGTGTAAAAATTTAAATCAACCAGTAGATAAATGATAAGATGAAGGAATCATAATAATATAATAATAAAAACGAGAAATGAACAATCGGCATAGCATCCACCCATTACACAATGTAAAATGATTCACTATCAAGCAAAGAGTGCATACACATCACACACAAACACACAGGGACACACACACAAACAGAAAGCGAGAGAAAGAGAGAGAGATGAGAGAGATACACACACACAGACACACGCGCACACAACGCAAAGCCATGCAATGTACGCTAATTTCTTTCATCTTTCCCAATTAGTCTATCATATCGTGTGATGGAAGCAGATGATTCCATTACGTTGAAATTAAGCATCACCACCACCACACTACCATCAACACCACACCACCACCAACACCACAAATCCATTATCGTCACAAACGTAACGATGAAAGCTTGATGATGAAAATATAATTTGATAATGCAGCACACACGACAACAACGGTCTGTGAAAAATTTTCTAGTAGCAATTCCATCACTTAAATAAAGTTTCTATAAAAAAAAAGTAGCAAACTGGGATGCGGAAATTAATTAGTGAGCGGCAAAGAAGCAAAAGTTGAAACCTTTTGCCTTGTTTGCCTCCACTTTTTGGATTGATGAACACAATAAGTGGGACAACATCGGGGAGAGGAACCAACTGAGTGAATGATGAGTGGGGTGATGAGTAATTGAATGATTGATCGGATGATACGTGGAAGAAAGATCGATTGATTGATTGAATGATACATGGAAGAATGATTGATTGATTGATTAATTGATCGATTGATTGATTGATTGATAAGAAGAAGAAAGATTGGTTGAAAGATAGATAGATAGATAGATAGATAGATAGATAGATAGATAGATAGATAGATAGATAGATAGATAGATAGATAGATAAATAGATAGATTGATTGATAGATAGATTGATTGATTGATAGATTGATTGATTGATTGATTGACTGATTAATTGATTGATTGATTGATTGATTGATTGATTGATTGATTGATTGATTGATTGATTGATTGATTGATTGATTGAATAATTGGTGGAACGAATGAATGGTTGAATACAAAAAAATGGATTGAGATGTTGATTGCTTACATTTCAAAATACTTTTTTATTTTTGCAATCGTAATGAAACACAAAAACAATCAAGCCAATCCAGCAAGAACTTACCTGCAAAGAATGTGATGAGAGGTTGTTGTCAATACTGTTGGCTGGTGTAGTCGCAGAAGTTGTTGCGGCAGAAGAGGTGTGAGCAGTAGTGGCAGTGTTGTTGTTGTTGCTGCTGCTGATGTTGATGATGTTGTTGAGAGATTCTTCAATGGAGAGTAATGATGATGACGTCACGTTCGACATCATTGATTTTGTTTTCAATTTTCGGTTCTGAAATCAAGAAATAACAGAAAGGATTACAAACTACTGCTACTAAAATTTTGTGTACCCTTTTGTACGGACAGGACAATCAAATCAACGAGCAAGAAATCCCATCTCTATTACGTACCTAATCCACCAAAATCATGAATGCCAACCGCGTTAAAAAGGCTGTCAATATCATCGACATCCTTTGAACTATCGTTAAACCATCAACACTTCAATCACGTGATTAAATGATGCCAGTATCACCGACGTCATAACCACCATTGACATAATCATCGTCACCTTCAGCCCTGTCATAATCACCATCGAGGACAAGCGACAGACAGATGAATATAAAAAGAAACACTAACAAACAGACAGATAGACAGACACAGAAGCAAACAGCAGAAACAATTAACCAGTACTGCAGGGGATATCTGAGCGGGAGATAATATATGCTCCTTGTATTCGCCCATGTCACATTCAGCGCCAACCAGCTCCAAGCATTTGTTATGCACCTGTATGCGTGTGGTTGCTATTGTTAGTGACTGGTCCAATGTATCTGCGTGTATGCGTCTATTTGAAACTAATTCACGGTGCTGCTGATTACAATGACGATGCAGTGATTACGATGTGTTCATTTGATATTTAAGATCATTAAAATTAATAAATGGAGTAAAATACATATGCAATGTTGTAACGAAAATATCGATTGAAACACGTTATAAATTCGAATCGATCAAGAAAAACTCACTCACTAATTATAATTAGTCATCATGGCAGAACATGACAAACAAATTAATTAATTAACCGGCAATTAAGTAAATTAATAAACTGATATGACAATAAAAAAAAATAAAAAGATCAGTATATGAATAATTAAACAATGGAAGGCCATCAATAAAACAACTGACAGATATCTTGCACCATCGGCATCTCTTGCCAGTCAGTTTGTTGTAAGACTTGATGTGCTTCTTACATTTGTTACATTTGGCTGAGCAGTTCCCAGCAACCCAGTGGTGTGCCATTGGCTGTAAAAACGTTATCTTTATATTATATACAATTTATCTATGTATACTTGTATGTGTGCATGTGTGCTTGATTGCATGCTGCATGAATGCATGTATTTGTATAGTTTGTATAGTAAATGCACATACATACATTACATACATATGAAATGTACGTGTGTGTACCATGTCTCTAAGTATGTGTGTATAGATTGAAAATTGTTTCTAGGTATGTGCGCGAATATGTATTATATACATGTATGTATGTCTCAGTGTCATATACGTCTGACGTAATAATACATCAAGACGATATTATTTCAGGCAGGAAGTTCTTGAAAATATTAAAAAAGATTCAATTGACGGCTATCCTTTGAAAATTTCACACATTAAGAGTTATTTCAAAATAAAAAATGATTACATAAAAAGTTATTAAATATTCATAATCACGAAAAATCGTGATTATGAATATTTATATCTGTTCCTACAGATGAATCGTGATGAAGAGAGACATTTGTAGGAACAGTCCCATTAAAAAATAAATTATTATTTACAATAATAATATTATTGTTATTATCAATTCCATCTTGAAGCACACAGCGGATGTGAGGACGCGTGAATCCGGGCATCAGATCCATTGCACGTGATAAGCTGGGATCTATTTGTATTCGAACCCAAACTCCTTAAACATCACGCCATCTCGCCTCTCAAATTTTTACATTCACAAAAAATTTTTTAAATTGTCTGTTTGGACAATTTAATTTCATTAATTTCACAATTTCATTAAAGTATCAATTCAGTACAAAATATATTTGACAAATATATCTAAATATATATATTATATAAATATATAAATTTTATAAATATATAAATTATATAAATTTGACATCACCGTCAATAAAACATTAACCAAATTAAAAGCTAAATTGAAAATATAAAACCAAACATATAAATTATATAAATATAAATTTGACATCACCGTCAATAAAACATTAACCAAATTAAAAGCTAAATTGAAAATATAAAACCAAACAAATTTTTTCTACAGTTAAATTTTTGAACCGCAAAAAACAGTTTTACACGAAAACTTCAGCATGTCAACAATCAAATATCATTTATCTACGAGTTAGTTCTCCTCTCAAAACATGGTAGCGTTTTCCAAGAATACGTTATCCTGAATTGCCTGAAAATTACGGCCCGACTTCGTTTCTAACGCTGTTTTTTAAAATACTACGGAAAAGCTGTCATCATACGATGCAATATTCTCAATGGTGACATTGAAAAAAGAAATAACCGGGTATGTTTATCGATTTGTCCAAAAGCGTTCGATACAATAAATCACGACGTGCAACTAAATAACTTACTTCCCTACGGTTTTCGTTGAAAAACCCACATGTGGTTTTCCAGTTATCAGTCAAATCGATCACATGTGCATCTAAATTATTCAAATTCTGGTGTACTCTCAACAAAATATGAGCACCTCAAAGAACCATTTTCGGATTTTTTCCCTTAAAAGTACAAATAACGGCAACACACTCTAATCAATCGCGAATTATCAAAAGATGAAGATTGGTTTGAAATCAGTAGACTCCTAGTAACATTGAGAACTACGTACAACGTGCATACCATTACCATTACGGGACCAACATCCGTGACAAACACAGAAAACTGGGCGTCTAAAATCAAAAAATAATTTTAGTTAAATTTTCTTCATTATTACAAAATTTGAACTGTCACTTATTGGAATGTTACAGTTATGCTACTTGAATACGGCTACGTTTGGCATGCTGTAATTCTGATCATGTTTTGTTGAATTTTGGTGAACAATTTGCCTTTTTTCGACCAAGTTCAATTTTTTAAATAAAAAAAATTAGGAATATTTTTATAGGTAAATTTTTAAGTTCAAATGTTTTGTTGATTGTGGATTATTGAAATATTTTCAAAAGATCTTAGTGAGAAGAATCGAAAAAACAAATTACAAGCAAATTAATGTCAAAAATTTGGTAAAATTGATAGAATACTGTGTGTGTATGTACATAAGCATATCATATATTACAGGTAACATGTTTAAAGTCATATTCCGTTAGTATATTCGTTGCTGAGTTTGAAAAACAACAGAAACAAAAAAACTATTAATTTTGGCTGATGAATAACAAAATTCTTTCAAGCCAGAGAATACAAATCATCAAACAACATGATGCACATCATCACGTCAACAATATCATCAATAACGACATCAAATGTAAAACAGTTGAAGAAAATTACAAAAACCAAGTTATCAAAAATGAATGCATATGTTTAAGAAAATATAAAAACTGACTTGGACAATTTTCGACTTGCTGTACGTTGTGATACATGGATCTCTACACTTTTGTACACATCGTTCGTGAACTGTGTATCGACAATCTTTTGTGGTTGCAAGTATAACATAATTATAGATACACTTTAATAATATTTAACGTTTGAATTGAACCAATTTGTAGTTTAACGCCTGAAATACGCGCAGAGGGATGGCATACAATAAGCAACGCAGCATAAAACTGTATCGACGACCAACGATGCAAGAATAAGGGAATAAACTGGATGGACATAGATCGGAGAAATCAAAAAATAAATGAATAAAAGAATGAATAAAAAAAGAATGAATGAATGAATGAATGAATAAATGAATGAATAAACAAATAAATAAACGATCGAATCAACGAAAGAATGAATGCAATATGCAATCAAGTTAATATGCATTCTGCATTGCCACACCAATTGCTAATACATCATAACAGTCAATAGACCAACAGCCATCGCAATTCAACTTATGTAAATAACAGAAGCATCATCATCATCAACAACCACCACCACCACCAATACAATCAGCATCAATAATGATAACAACAACAGCAACAACAACAATTACAACAATAAAAATAACAATAAGCGAGAATTATTTTGGAACTTCCCATCAGCATCATTATCCTCGCTTCCATCATCATCTTTCTCTCATGAATTAATGGAATCACTACAATCATTGCCAGAGTAAAAATAACAAAAACAATAAAAATAATAATAATATTATTATTATTATTAAAAAATACAAATTTTTTAAAACATACAGATGCATCTTAGCCCCTGTTTTCCGAGTCCAATGAGCAGATTGAGGCAGTGGTTGCAGTATGCAGGTCTGTTGAAGTGCTTCAACTCCCAGGAATGGCAACCCTCATCTGGAACCATCTGCAAATATTCCAGTCAGTACCAACAGTCAACATACATGTCACCACCACATATCAATTCACACCATGAATGTGAAAACGATCAAAATTAACCTGAGCAAAGAATGGTTAAATGATTGAAAAAAAACGAATAAATGAATGAATTGACGAATAAGTAAACCAACAGAATCGACTCCAAGTAGGACCATGAGTGGTATGTTGGATGATCCAGCCTTCATCCATTCCTCCAACGTAACACAACCATCTGCATTGTAGTCAACTTCTTGCATCATCTCTTGCAAAATCTGGAGACGCATTTCATCATGTTATCTACCATTCGTTTGTCAACAAAATGAACATGACACAATTTAAAACACGAAAAACAGATATAAAAGTTTTGATGTTATAACGCGCATAGCTTTATTAAAACATTGGATGGCGGCGATGGTGTAACGGTAAAGTGCCTGGCACTGCTAATGCAGTGACCGGATTCGTTTGCAAAGAGATTCCCGCCTATCACTGCAATGTTTGTGTTGCGTAGTTTCACGTGTATTTATAATGCACTATGTGTTTGTTGCTGGTGCGTCTGAAAAGTTTTGAAGAGAAAATTGTAATGAATAATTAAATAAATTTTGTACATTAAAAAGATACATAAGATAGTTAGTGTTATTAAATCTTTAAAAACCAAATTGGCGTATAAAACTTTAAAACGTTAAATAAAAACTGAACCCTTAATTTAAATAAATGTAAAAATTAGTGAAATATGAATAATGAATGTGTAGGAGGGACGAACTGGTTTCAATTAAAAAAAAACTGAACCCTTAATTGAAATAAATGTAAAAATTAGTGGAATATGAATAATGAATGTGTAGGAGGGACTAACTGGTTTCAATTCAGAAACATCCCAGCCTGAGTACCTGGCCACAGTCATCATGTGATTGATTATGCTCTCTATCTCCTACATCAAGTCAATCATATATTCAATCATTCACTCATTCATTCATTCATTTATTCATTCATTCATTCATTCACTCACTCATTCATTCACTCATTCATTCATTCATTTATTCATTCATTCATACATACATACATATATATAAATGCATGAATACATATATACATGCATTAATTAATTAATTCATTCATTTAGTCATTCAAAAATTTACCTATTCATCTTTCCAATCATACACTTTTGCCAATCTCAAAACAAGAATGCTGACAGCAGCTTACTCATAAATTAACAGTCGTACGAATTTTATTTTAAAAATTAAAAATAGAAAGCATTAGTCCTCTGAAGAGACCAATTATTTTGAAGTTCTTTGGAAGTTATTGTTTCAAAATTGCTCAACTTGCACAATCAATTATTTTTGGATCATTAAAGTAAATAGAAAGCTAAGAGACTACTAACAAGAGAATCGAGTATGCCGTTGCCATCAGTGTCGTACAATCTAAACATAACTGTCGTGAGTTGATTGGTTGGTTGGTTGATTGGTTGGTTTGTTGGTTGATTGGTTGGTTGATTGGTTTGTTGGTTGGTTGACAGGTTGGTTGACAGGTTGGTTGACAGGTTGGTTGACAGGTTGGTTGATTGGTTGGTTGATTGGTTTGTTGGTTGGTTAATTGGTTGGTTGATTGGCTGGTTTGTTGGTTGGTTGATTGGTTTGTTGGTTGGTTGACAGGTTGGTTGATTGATTGATTGGTTGGTTTGTGGATTTCAGTGTGCTGATAAATGTAAAAAAAAGTGTGTACATGTGTGTGTTTGTGTAAATACACAACATTAAAGAACCTTAAAATGTGTTCAGGTGAACATATAATGATCTTAAGAATGCATAAAGGGAATTAACTCTGCATTACCAACAAATTCTAGGCAGAACATATAAACGACACCACAATCATCGGTTTTCAGTCTTGCTGTGAAACAGTGAAAACTCCTTCTTAAAGGTGCTTTTACAACAGCATAAACGTGATTTATTATAACATAAATTGGACTAATAACAACATGCACCAAACGCTATTTACAGGAGCCATAAAAACACAATCCCATCAATTTAACAACAAATTCAGCTAATGAAAGGCAGGCTTCCACAAAATAATATGTCTTCAATGAGTGGAAAAAAAAGAAAGAAAAAACCATTATTGAGAGAAATTGAAAAATGAAGAAGATTATGAAATGGAATAACTGTGAACATGGGTAGCTTATTCATTGATAGCTGGTTTTCAACGTAATATTAACAACTTCATTCCATATTATAGCGGCAACAAAACATAAACAACAAAACACATGATACCTAGGAGAAAAAAGAACAACACCAACAACAACAACAAGAAACAGACACAATGACATGATGAACGAACAAACATGACAACATGAACGAACAAACATGACAACATGAACGAACAAACTTGACAATGTGAACGAACAAACATGATAACGTGAACGAACAAACATGACCACATGAACGAACATACATTCCAATTTATCTTTAGGAGTGCCTGCAGCCAGCAAGGACAAACAGCATACGAGATCCTTCAATGACAGGTGACCATTGATTGCCCCAGGATCGTTGCTGTTACTACGGCAACGCGACAACAAACTCCGCCTCCTGTCCATGAAACTGGACATGGATCGAATCTCACTTGGCTCTGTTCAGTGCAATGTTGACCGATGTAACATAACCATCACCAATGTCAATATAACGTAATCAGTGGCGGATCTAGAGGGGGAAAGGTAAATTCCCCCCTCATTGTGAGCAGTTTTTTAATGAAAGTCAATGAAGGACCGTTTTATGTGTAAAATCGACCCCAAAATTGAACGCGATAAGCGAAAAAAACCATACTACCACAAACCTTGGCCACTCCATAAAAATTTTGCCCTTCCCCATGAAAATTTTGTCACCACCATGTGAAAATGTAAACATTTACAAATTCTTGGCCCCCCTTCCGTCAAAGTTGTCAAGATCCGTCACTGAACATAATTATGTGTATAACTGTAGTTCAATTAAACATATAACAAGCCATCAAAATGTGATGACATGATGATGGATTTTAGAAACCTGAGATGGAAGAGGGAGGGAGATGGTTCTTCTTGGAGTTCTTGTCATGAGGCGCCAGAGAGTTGGAGTCCGATTTGGAAAGTAAACCTGCATTGCAATAAATACAACAAGCCGACGTGTTTCATAGAAAAACAAAAAGCACGAATGAATGAATAAATGTGACGAAAAAATTTTATTGTGAAAGCAACAGAAAAATTTGCAAATCTATGAACATTTCAATCTTTAATTAACATGTCAGTTTGTACCTGACATACAATTATAAAATATTTCACACAGGCATTTCCAACTGTGTTATAAATAATGCTATTAAAATTAAGTGTACAACTTTATGTTGGGTATAAAACTCAAATATATTCTGTTAAGAATCCTATAGAGTATTCGTGTTGAAAGAAATGAAATCAATCCCAACATCCAGGAGTTATAATTGTATACAATAATAATCAATATACATTCCTCCATTCTGGGTTTAAAGCAAGATATTATGAAAAAGAACCGAAATAAAGAGTTTGCTGTTATATCATACAGAGATTTCCAAACTGGAAGATGTAAAGCAATGCAAGAAGAGGTACAAATGGTTTGAGCAAAATACAATCTTTTCATTGAGTTAAAATAAAATATTCATTTCAAGGTAGGATCCTTGCAAAGTTAAGCCAAAATATCGAAACTGACCACCACATTATTACAAACTGTGCCTGTCACTGAGTGTAAAAGTAATTAGAGGAAGGTTTAACTTATGGAAGGATCTGCACTTTTTTTGAAGATGCAAATTTGTTTAGTGGTAATAATTTTTTGATTGAAAACGCACACACACGCATACACACACACCACACACACACACATACACACCACACACACACGCATACACACGCACGCATACACACACGCATACACTAGCTCACACGCGAATAAACGCAAACACATAAGCACAGAGAAATAATTGATGCAAGGATAAAAAGAGAGGCAAGTGTGCAAATGAAATTACAATCCCCACACAAGCAACATAATGAATGACATCTCATGCAGGGCAATCTAATTAGTGCAAACAAGTAAACAAATTATATTTTACATATTCCACAACAAAATAATTACCATATTATTATATTTGTGCTAGTTTTATATTCACTAATTATTGTAAATAATCTTAATCACCAATTGTTCATAGAAGAAGCTTCAATCAGCATAATTAACCAACTCAATAGCAAACGGTTTGATGCAAAACTACTTCTACAGCCCATGAAATCTTCAAAAATTCATAAGAAGCAGCGAATAAAATGAACTTAACAGTTCATAGAGAATATTTGTGATTCTTGTTTAAGAAAATTAAGCCATCAAGTTGCGCTAATGTTGAATGGACAACAATCAATATATTTATATAACGAAATCATGTATAACGATGAAGTTATACATCTGATTTCATTTCAAACAACACAAAATGTATCTACTTTTTGTTGGCTTCCCACATTAAGAACCCAACAAGCACCTTCATAATCATTTTCATCTAAGTAAACAATAACCTATAAAATTTGGAAAATAAAACAAATGCATGCTAAATAAATTTTAGAATATATTGAATAAATTTTTTAAATTTCGATTTTACATACTATTTTAAATTGTTGTCTACAATGTAATGTCATTTAAAATCACTGCTACTTAAGAAGATTTCATTATTTAACCAGCAAGGTTTGTTCCAATTCAACTATCTATCTGGTCACTTGTCAGATCAAACAAAAAGAAAATTTCACTCATCAAAAATATTCCTGAAACATAAACATTTAATTACTAATTATTAAAATGACAAACTGATTGAAATAAAACTTCAAGTACATTAACAGCACATCCCTTTCAAGCCATCTCACCCTAACCGTTCTGACATTACAGTAGTAAATATAAAAGCTAAATGTAAGCAACATTCCTGAAAATTTGTTAAAGGTGTTTGGCAAAGGAAAATATGAGCTGTCATAATGAATGAAATGAAATGCTTGTCAAGTACACATCATCGCTGTAATTATTGTATCAACAACAGCAGTTTACATGCACAGTGCAACAATTGCATAAAAAGTGAATGTTTATATTGATCACATTCTGTGCATAACTTTCCAAATGTATAACAATGTGATGCAATGTTGCTTACATAAGACAGCAAACAGTCTGGCTAACGATAATGAATAATTCATTATTGTTTCATTGTCAATTTTTAAAACGTTCCAATAAGAAAACATTGTTGGCTTTATGAATAAAGTTAAATCAGGAGTGGGTGGGTGTGCAACGGGCGGTCCACAGGCCACAACCTGGCCGGCCAAGCCGCTTGAAGTGGCCCTCAGAGACAAGTTTCAAAATTGTTAAAACAATATATAAGGTGTCATTTATCAATCGTCTTACTTTAGCTCAATTCCGAATATAGTGAATAAACAATTTTTTCAATAAATAATAATACAATAAAATAAAGCAATAGACAAAAATCTTCACATATTTTTAATCTTTCGTAATAATTTACAAAAGCACTGCCTTAGTGAACCATTTTTTCGCGCTGTATATGCAGTCAGAGTTAGTGTTTAGTTTACTTGTTTGACAACTGATAAATTTGTATGTTTTTTCTCATATATTTACAATAATTCAATAAAATTAAGAAAAAAATTAAATAAATCAAATATATCTAATTAACGATATTTATAAGCAGAAGAGTTATTCATATCGTGATCAGTTAATGGTAGTGATAAAAATAAGAGGACCTACCACTCGGAGCATGGGGTTTTGTGATAGATGTGTGTGGCCTCTTGAGAAATGAGACGAACAAACGTCTGCACAGATCCTCTGAAATGCCTGATTCAATGTAAATGGACATGAAAGTGGAGAACCCAGCATAATCCATCATCTTGTTGTGGAATTTAAAGTGAAAAATCAATGATTTGATTAATTTAAAAAAATAGGTAAACATTTGACATTTGCCGCCATATTTTCATATTAAATGTTTATATTTGTTCCTGGTATAAAAAGGCCCGTAGAAAATGAAATTTAAATTAAGTTGAAGAAAAATATGAATAAAACTTGCAATATCTTTTTTGTGGTCCTCTCCTCCTGTATATTCCTTCACAGCATCAATCAAGTCCTTGCCCGAATCTAACAGAGCAATTCAAGAAGTGGTATGAAATAAATGCATCAACTTACAAACTTAATCAACATAAAATATTAATCACTTTTCAAAATTCTATCACAAATGCTATTGATTATCTTTAAATGATGAGCATCATGTGTTATCAATGCTTTAACCAAATCATGAAAAATAAAATCAGAAAATATAATATTAATAATAATTGCAGTATTTATCCAATAGTGATTCAATAATTATAGAAAAGATTTTTAACAAAAGTTCAAATTTTTAAATTAAGTAATAAAGTAATGAGTCTTTTTAAAGATTTTTTAAGTTTTATGAGGAATTAATAACTTTGTTGTCAATAATCTGGAGGACCACCGACTACTCAACAGTTTAAGAAACGTAAAGTGGAATTTCATGACACGGTTCATAAAAGATAGACAAGATGTCACCAAATTAGCAAGTTTAATAAACATGGAAAAGTTTAATTAGGCATTAGTCTTAGAACATATGACCCAAACCCATACATCAAATGACTTTTAGGTGATTTGTAAATTGATAATTTGCATAACAAGCAATTAACACCAGTGTTAACCGTCACAATCATACAAATTTGCATTTGTAGAATAAGTGTCAACTAGCCAACAACATGTTCAAGCATGATTGAGAACACATGGAAACTTATTTATTAGAGATATCATTAATTAAAATGTGCATGTACTGTTTTCTTGAAAACATTTTTAGTCAACCTCAAATTGCAAAGTCGAATGAAACAAGTGGCAGTTTGAAACCTCTTAATCCAATCAAGTATTGTCAGTGAAGAATAAAAGAAGCAACCAACATTTTCTTTTTGAAAAAATATCACATTCAACTCTACAAACAACAGATAACAAAAGCATATAAGTTGATTCCATTTTGAAGCACTTCTTATCACACAAGTATTTACATCTGAAAGACAGTTGACAATCTTATCCGTGAAAGTAATGGCCTGTTGAATATTCTATGCACAAACCCAGGACAACATTTCTTTTTCAACAGATAGCATTTAAACCCTAGTTACTGTTCCAGACATAATTGATTAAATTAACAATATAAATAAATTGTTATTACTACTATAAGACATGCTCACATTTATAATTAGCCAGTCAAATGTTATTCTGATTGAATTATTCATGACTGTTCTATTTATTAATTAAAAAAATGAGTGTCACTACAGCTTAATTAATAGGTAATTAGTTATCATTAATTACACTACAGTAACAGTCCCATCCTAGCATTATAAGCAGAGTCTGTCACTTTCCTTCTCTACAAATGAAACACCCACATAGTTAATTAGTAATCAATATTTGAAAGATTTATCATATACCATATAATAACTTTACCCTCAAGTTGCTCTTTGTATGAATGTCAAGTCACTAAAAATGCAGTAAAGCAACAAATGGAAACATGAATCACTTCATTTCCACCATTTTAGCTTATATCTGAGTTATCTTGATACATCC